ATCCAAAGTATTTACAAGGTGTGGGGTGTTGGGTATTTATAGGAGGGGAGGCATCTAGGGTTGCATTTGGAGTAGGCAAATGCATTCCAAATGAAATGCAAATGAACCCTAGATGCAACTTGGTGGCCAAGGATGGAATCTTTGGGTTTAGATTGGCTATATCTAGGTGCATGATAAGACCATGCAACCTTTGCCCTCCACTTGGGCCTAAGCCTTTCTAACACCAAAAATAGATCCAATGAACACCAAAAAAATGTGTCACCCTTCTAGTTAACACCCTAGCCCAAAATTAAAAACCCTAATCATCTTGAGCACCCCATAATACAAGGGTAAAAAGGGAAATACAAGGGAAAATAAATCTAAGTTCTAAACACCCCAAAATACTAGGGTAAATTTGGAAATACAAGTAAAATAAATTCTATGATTAAAAAGAACTTAGGAGCTAAGGTCCAAAAGTGGCCTCACTAACCCATTCCTCTTGCCTCCTTTAATATATCACCTCTTGGTCTTCTCGGCCTTAGTATTATTCCATCAAACTTCGTCCAATGATTATCGTTCATTACAACTTTCTTTAGACGAAAAGCACACTTGTTTGATTTATTATCTTAAAGAACAATTTTTGTTTAAGAAGCATTTTCTCTGTGCAAACGATAAACTCTCAAATGCAAGAATCTTTTGTTGAACCAAGCTTGCACATTTTTTGTTAAGCATTCAAAATAATATTTTTACTGGACGAAAATGAGTCCTCTGCGAAAATGTTTTTAAAAATTACTTTGTTTACACTCACACGTATTCAACCCCCCTTCTATGTGTTTTTCTGCTAACTTCAAAAAGATTAAGAATTGATTGAGTTATGCGACTTATAAGTTTAGTCTCCATTCCAGTGCACGAAAGATTAAGTTTAATGTTGTCAGCCATGCGAGGTGACCATAAAGACATTTTTAGGCTTCATGTTCCAAAAGTGGTATCTTTGGGTGTGATATTTTTAATGGCTTTGGAATCACTAAAAAATAATGTCTAGAACTCTAGATATGACTATTTTAGTGAACAGGGGTCAAGCTGTCAGCGTGAATTATATCTATTGTGGTTTTTGACATTTTTAGCTAAGTAGATGATTTTTTTAGAATTCAATGTCTACATAAGAGTTGTATATGATCCTCTTATATTTCTTTTGAGATAGGTTGGAGCTTATTTGGATGGGTATAACTCTGTGTGTTGTTTTCTTTGATAGTTTTCAAATGTCTATTGCAACAAGTCAGCTATCAATGGTGTCTATCCTATGCACCATGATAGGACGAAAAAATATTGAAATTGATAAGACATTTTATTTGAGAAAATTTGAAAAACACTACTAGAATTTCTCTTATTACATGCAACTTTTCCTGTGAATTTTTTATTTTTCCTGCACATAAAAATTCGCAGGAAATGTTGTTCTTACAAATTTTTCTGCGACTTTTATTTGCAGGTAATACCTTCATGGATAATATATTTTTGTAAATTTTAAAATTCGCAGGAAATTTTCCTATGAAATTTCTTGCAAAAAAAATTTGCAGGAAAGTTTCCTTAAAAAAAAATTTGTAGGAAAGTTTCCTACAAAAGAAAATTTGCAAGAAACTTTCTTACGAATTTTTTCGCAAGAAATTCTGCAAGAATAATTTTTACGAAAAAAATTAAAAAAATTACTATAAATTCTATCAATAATTCTTCAACTTTCAAATGCTCACAATGAATTCATCTGAAGCATTTGTTTTCATGCTTCCAACAAGTGATACATAATATTTTAAATTCTAAGATTGTAGATTATAAGTCTAATACTCAACCATACAAATCAACTTTTAAGGTAAGTGTTGTTCCAACTTATATATTTTTTAATTGTTTTATTTTCAATCGAAGTGAGACTTGAAGTTTTTTTTTAAATATTAAACTTATAAATTTAAATAATTTTTTTTTATTTTTCTTGCAGATTAAAATTTGTAGGAAAATCCGCAGGAAAAGTTACCTGCAAATTTTTTTTATCATTTAGTAAACATTACTTGGTAATTTATTTTTGCAAGAAAATATGCAAGAAATAAAATAGAATTCAAACAATATTTTTTACAAATTTTTACCATGGAAAAAAGTTTCTATGATTATTAAAATTGTAGCAAAATTTGTAAGAAATATCTGTAAATTATTTTTCACAAATAAATTTGCAAAAAATTTTTGCGAATATTTTTTGCAGAAAAATTTGTAAAATTTTTTTGAGAAATAATTTTTTGCAGGAAAATAACATTTTTCTAGTAGTGGAAGTTTTGTATGTTCCATCAGTTCATATTCTCATGAAAAGGCTTAAAAGCTTAAGTTTTTATGATCTTATAGCTAAACTGCATGGAAGACATCTACTCCTCAGCTTTGAGAGGGAGTGTTGATCTGTAAATATGTAAATATTTGTTTTTGAATATAATTATTACAAGTATATTTAATGTAAATATAATTATTAGAACAATATTTTCTGTAAACATAATTTGGGGGTAACTAGGCAATTATTTCGATTATTAGGATTGATTTTGTTTCGTTTTATCATTTTATTTTCTTCCTTTTGATGTACTAGCCCCTTGAATATAAGAGAACAAATTGAGTTTTATTATTCTAGTTTATTCACAGCTACATTTTCAATAATGAAACGTTGAGAAACATAATTGATCACGGTTGACTCTTCCAATGGTGTGTTTATCATATAAACTATTAACATCAAAATATTGGCTTTTGGGTAACCTTGCAGTTTGTCAGATGAAGCCAAAGAAGAACCCCAGTATCACCTTTTTGATAAATGACTCAACAAAAGTAACTTCGCCTTTTTAGTTTAATTTTCTGACTTCCAAGTGTTTACAAAGGATAGCATAAGCCTCTATATGTTCTGCTTTACTCTGTATCCTAGGCAGCTCAGTCGAAGTTCAATTTGAATGTTGGTTGTTGCACTAACTGAACATTTGTATTGAAGGGTGAGTGCCACAATGGAAAACACTAAATAGTTGCTATAACATTTGACATAATGAATTGGCACTTATTTTGACTCATGGTTGAGCGGGTTATATTATTTTTATCTGATCAAAGACTACCCTTAAATTCAGTTGAATTTAATTAAATTTCTACTTTCGACTATGACACTCAACTATTAAATTAATGGAGAAAAAATATCACATTTTAGTGCCAATATTTCATTTTCTGGTGTCTAATTGTATATGGTGTAAGGATAAGGTATTACTATCCTGTGTGTGAATACATTTGTGGCGGAAACAATAAAGTTAAAACAAGAGTTCATGTTAATTTTATTAAAAGGCAAATAACATAACTCAATAGGGTGAATAAGCAAGCACCTTACAAAACCTCAGAAGAAAGATTAAAAAAAATAAAATATTCCTCAAGCAGGAGATTTTGCATTAAAGAGACAGAAGAACGATAATAGACATTTTAAACTAATGAGCAGAAAATAAATGCTCTCCATGTAATGTCTCAATTTCATGTTATGTAATATATAAAAATAAACTAGTAAGATTTTTGTTTTAGCAAGTGTTCAAAGGACACAACATAAATATATTTTAGAGAACCGTCTTTAAAACAGACTACGATAAAAAAAATATATAAAAAAATGTCCGTGCAATATTATTTTATGATTAATAATAGGTGTGAATTATTATATGATTAGTTTGAAAATATTTATTATGCATTTAATTCTTTATTGTTTAAATTTTACGTTTTAAATTTTTTTAAGTTACCCTTGATATTTGATTTAAAACATTTATACGATAATTAATAAATATGATGAAAAAATTATGTGCTTATTAGTTTAATGTGTTTAAGTGTATTTTTTTATAGTTTTAAATTATTTTATTTTAATTTATAATAAAAATAATTAATTATAGAGATTTTATAATTTAATTTATATAATAATTGATTATAGAGAATTATAATTTAAATTAGTGACTACTGACTAAATATTTTTTTTTTTGACAACTCCGACTAATGGTAACATATAATATTTTCTATATTAAAAATTATTTATTTATTATAATTTTAAATTATTATCATTTAATAATTTCATGTAATGTTATTCAAAATAATTTTATTATCATAATTAATTTATATGTAGTGTGATAATTGACTGATATTTCATTTTTATTTCTTTATTTGTCTACTTTATTCAACAGGTGTAATTATTATTTTTTTAAAAAAAAATTATTAAATTCAAAACATTATTATGAAAGAGCATTTGATTTGATTATCATTTGAATTAAAGTCTATTCGTTTTATTTTCTTTTAATTAATATAAATATTATTTTTAAAATTATTATAATTTAAATATTTTTTTAAA